ACTTACTGGCAATAATGGCCAAATTATACATTAGAGCAAACCTGTTAATCTTATAACTGGAAGTGCATACCTTTTGAACAATATCTCATTACTTTCTATTATTAATAAAGAATATATTCAGAATATAATGAAGAATATGTTCAGAATAGGCATATTTGCTAAAGCAAAAAATAAAGTATTGCTTGTCTAGGGCTAAGAAGATTGGTAGAAATTGAGCAGTGATTTCTAACGGTTTTACTTTTTGTGTAATGAAAATGTCCTAAAATTGATTGTGGTGCTGACTGCACAATTTTGTGAATAAACAAAACCCTCCAAATTTGAACTATGTACTCTATTTCTACTAAGGAATAAGTTTTTTCCCTTTAAGTCTAACCAGTTAAAAATTCTTGGTGAAATAAGAAATCTGAGATGAAGGGTGGAATGCATGATTTCCTCTATAATTAAACCAGTAGTTTAGACATCAGAAATGAAAATTTAAAAAAAAAGTGAATTTCAATATAGTAAGGAAGATTAGATATAGAGAAAACTGACAAAAAGATGTATTTTTTTAAAACCCTAAGATTAAAACACATTTTCAAAACATAAAGCATAATTGTCAAAGCTGCAAGATAGCTGATTGTTTAAATCCATGTTTAAGTTGGTGCCCCATAAAACTCTACTATTCACTGGTTACTTCTTTTAGTGATTTTTCCTTTCTCCTGTTGAACTCAGGTCTAACATAATCTGAATGCATTACAATAAGTATGTAAAAAATCAAACTGTAAAAGAAAATAATCAACATATATTAAAATCCATGGATTAAAAAAAAAAAGGAAAGCTGTCTGAGAAAAAGTTGACAAGTCATAGCATATAGTTGCACAGCAAATGTACCTACAGTTCAACTTTTCATTGCCAAAATGTGGTCCAAGCACAACTCTGGTAAATCCAGCAAGGTCACAGAAGATTATTACATCTACATGGCACTGTACATGTTTCCAGAGACCACATGGAGGTGGAAATATTGATATAGAAAAGCTACCCTCTTTTAGGAGGTAGGATCTGGTCAGAACCAAGAGAATGACTATTGAGTAGATGCTAGTCACATACAAAAATACTCTTTTTAATTGTAGTGTTCAGAACAGACCATCTGAAAATGAGTTTTGGTAAACTAACTGTTCCATGTTACCAAACTTACATTAAGGCTCAGAGAATTCCTTTCTACCTAAACCAAGTTACAAATTCCTTTTATTTTCTTAAAATTTATAAAGACTATTACATTATAAAGATTATTTATACCCTCTCCTCCAAAAAAAAATCCACAAAGGTTTCAAATGGAAAGACAAAAGATAGAGTCACTAAAAAAAGTTTAACTTTTCTTACTCACTGCAATACACATTTAATTGTGAAAAAAGTTATGATTAATTTAAAAAATAAAGGACCAGAATAAATATAAAATAATAATGATCTACTTATTTTACAGTGGGAAACCAGTGGTATGCACTTTCTATTTTTCTTCTGAGAAATGTCAAGTAGAAATAGCAAACTGTCCTCTGGGAAAAATCAAAGTATGTGTGCCTAGAAAAGAACCCTGTCCTCAAATGAATTAGTACATAAATATTCACTGGGGAAATATGCATTATGTGACAGTATGGTTATAGGACATAAAATAGTAGAGATTTTTTTCAGGTTACATAGAACATGGTTCATATACATCAAAAACTGCAATTGTGGCCCAAATTATTTTTAGCCTCTTTTCCTTTCAGGACTAAACTATAGCATAGTTTGTGTATTAGTCTATAGTACTCCTCCCTAATTTAAAGTCTTAGGGGGAAAAAAATACAAATGCATATATTAAAGAACTGACACTATCTGTCAGCAAAAACTACAATACTTTGTAAAGTCATTCATTTTTCAAGTCCCTATAAATGACAAAGCTTCTCCCATCTACATAAACAATTCATTTATTTTACTGTGAAAGACTTTCTGAGGTCACTTAATTCAGCAATCTCGAACAAAAAAATTCTCTATCCTAATACCTCCTAGAAAGATCGATCCATATTCCACTTATCCTTCTGCAAATGTAAATTAATGCTGGAAACCTCAGGGAAACTACTTTATATACTTGAAACCCATACATCAAGTCATTTCTTAGCACTCTCTTCCATAACCTAAATAATTCATAATACTCCAAGTTTATTTGTGTGGTATCTATTCTCCATTAGCCTGTATATTTTGATTTGTATCTGTATTCAATTCCTCTATTAGTGTAGTTAACAGAAGTGGTAAAGTTCCCTGTGCATCTAGAGATTATTAAGAAGGCATCTACAGCTATTAAAATCTCATACCAAGTGTTTATTTTTCTTTGTTTTCTTGTCAAGGAGCACAAAACTGCTTTTTCACAATCAGGTTATATTTACCTATGAACCATGAATATATTTTTTTGATGAACTAGGTCTAAATAATGAGTCTTTCTCCGATGGAAAAATTCTGACAGTGGTTGGTAGAAAATGGCTGCATAGTAACATGAATGTATTTAATACAAGTGAACTGTATACTTAAAAATGGTTAAGATGGTGAACAATGTTATTTACATTTTACCACACATATGAAAAGTCATTACACTGAAGGAAAAAAGCCACACAGAAGTATGTACATATAGCCATTTATATTGCATGTCAAAACATGTAAAATTAAACTATAGTGACAGAAATCACATGGTTGTCTAGGATGGGGGAAAGAGGAGGAACTAACTGTAAAAGGTCTCAAGATAACTTTGTGGAGTGACCTTACATTTGTCAAAATTCAATGAAATATATTCTTAAAATGGGTACATATTGTATGCAAACTGTACTCAATATATTTAAAAATATTGATAAATAAGTTTTAGGAGAGAATGAATGCAAGAGAATAGAAAATAATATTACAGACTCTTCTTTCTAGGAAAGAGATGATGTTGTGGAGCACATAGAAGGTGGTAGCTAGAGGAAAATAGATGCTCAAAGGAGTATTTTATTTCTCAAGATGAGAGAAAAAGAAATGAATTTAATGCCAATGGGAAATCAATTATTTGAAAATTCAGGAGCATAAGAACAAAGGCTAGGAATTTTTTTGGTCGTTGTTTGAGACATATGAAATTTTGTTTTCAAATTCCTCAGTTCAATGAAACTGCATCTCAGTAAACCAAAGAAAAAGGGGGAAAAGGGCCACCCTGGTGGCGCCAGGGGTTAAGCACTATGAAGCTGTCCACAGCCTCTGCAGCATGAGTTCAATCCCCAGCTGGCCAGGGAGCTACCCACTGGTGCAGCAGACCTCTCCTGTCTTGCCCGCTGCTACCCTCAGCAGTATTTCAGTAGATCCACCTGTCTCTGGTGAATCCTATCACCCCCCACCCCCACACCTCTGGCCTATACTCCAGTTCTTGTATGCATAAATAAATCAATCTTTAAAAAAAAAAGAAAAAGGGTGGGGGGGGAAGCCTTCGCAAGATTAGAAATATGCATCAGACTGAAATATGCATCACAAAAATTTTAGTGAAATCTACAAACCAAGAATATGTCATTGCCATATACATGTGTATTAGTAGTAAATATAACAATAATGGGTTTTTTTTTGGTGGTATAAGCAAAATCTGTACTAATAAAAACCTTGTACTAAGAGGTTGACCCTTTAGCAAGAAATTACAAGGAACTAGCATTTTGTTAGAAAGCAGAAAATTACTGAAACCAAACAATATGCTCTAATATTTCAGGTATTCTTTAAGCCTGGCCTCAGAAATAAAAAAGATTAGTGAGGGCAATAAAGACTAATATAAGGAATAACATAACAGTTTTGTAATGCTATCAAACATGTGAGAAGGACATCCATAGCCATCTTTGTTAGTAAACAGCCTTGTGAGATTATATTTTCAAATACCGAGTATAACCGCTAAATTTTAAAATTAGTAAGAACTTTATTTCAGGAACTAGAAGAGCCAAAGTCCCCCCAAAAAAGGTTACTGCTGGTCTTAGGTGATATATAAGTCAGGTTAAGGAATGTAGTACTTTGAATTCTCATACCCCATATGCCAGCTCTCAAAACATTACTGCTTTATGCCATCTTTTATATCTGTGAATCTGTGACTTAGCAAGGTAATTTTTAAATTTTATAAAAGCCTTTACAAATATTTTAAGGCCTGAACATAAAATATATTTGAAACACACTTTATATAGTTATCTTTAATTGGATTTTAAAAAAAAGCTTTATTTCCCAATATGTAATTCAATGATTAAAAACTAATATTTTTAAACAATTAGCTATGACCTGTCACTAAATTTAACTTTTACAATGTATATTAATACATTCTCTATAAACATCTTTAATTACCAAGTATTTTTACAATCTCAAAACTGGATGTGTATATTGACAAAGAAATCATACATACAAAACAGTTATGTATAATATATATGTTATACATAATATATAATGGTTATGTATATATACCATTAATAAACTGTAATAGTACATACAAACAGGTAACAGCTATTGTTTTCAAAATTCAAAATGATTAATTTGAAAGCACCAGGAATTTGCAAAATGACAACAGACATTCTTGTTATATACTAAATAAAATCAGTGTTCTTTTCTGTTCAGATTTTAAAGCAAAAACAAAAGTAATTGGTCTGACTCTTTATAACAATATCAGCCAATTGAGCTAAGTTTCAAAATTTTCTCTCTTGTTAGAACACTGTCACAAATAGTTGCACTAAACAATTTTGGAAATCAAGTAAATAAGAAAATGGTTTTCTTACAAACAGAATGGTTTGTTCAGGTGTTTATTCTTTTTTAACTTTTATTTCTACTTTTCTTTCTTTGTTTTGGTGTCACAGAATATCTTTTTTCTAAAAGTCTTATTTTAAAAGTCTTTGCCCCATAAGACCAATAACATCAAAATATATTTATTATTTTCTATTTATAATTTTCTATTTTCAAAAACCGTTGCCTCTCTTACAAAATAATGCATTTCATAGAAGCTCTTGTCTCACCTGGCCAGTTCTTTAATTAAGTTTGCAATGCGTCTTTTGTCTTCCAGACATAAATCCTTCAGTGATGCACTCTTTATTCCACCTGTGCAGAAATTCTATTAAAAAAAAAAATCTTAAGAAAACGTTTAATACTTTTGGAGAAACCTCTTAAAATAAGGTGAAATGTCTTAGTTATTTTTTATTGTGGTGGAGCACTAACCTGTGCTATTTAACCTACTGTGAATTCAGAACAGACTAAGAGCAGCTCCCCTTCCTGTCTGTGACTATGCAGATGCCTCTCTTTTTCTTCCTCTTTTTCCTAATAAACCTGTCCTTTTAAAGTGGTGTTTTTTTTTTTTAAACAAAACAAAACAAACAAACAAGCGAAAAAACAGACTACGAAACTGATTCTCCACCATGGATACATTGTGAAATTTACATTGAAAAGCAGTCACTAAGAAGACACTGAGAAACTACCGGATAACATGAAAGTTTTCAGGGTGCAAGGTTGGAGACCCAGATGGAGTCCAGAGACCCAGAGGGAGCCCAGCGACCCAAACTGAGATGATAAATCTGCGAGTCCAGAAAAGCCAAGGTTTAGAGCTTGTAGGGCAGAGAATGGAGATAATAGAGCTGCACATAGAAAAAGTTCTAGAGATCTACAGAAGGTCTCCCTGCAAGTCAACAAGTCACAATGATCAGCATGTGTTTATGAAGAAACATAAGTGAAAAAAGAACTGCACAAAATCCCAAAATGAACTCTGGAAATATTCTCTGTAGCTAAATGCCATGAATGGTCTGTGTATTCCCACTAGTCAGAATGGAAAACCTTGCAATTCAAGGTGCATCAGGCAGATTATTCAAAAGAATACTGCCTATGGTGGGCAAAACTAACCCTGTAATAAAAGCTGCTCTACCAAGCTTTAAAAGAATCACACTTGGGCCTCCCCTGGTGGCGCAGCGGTTGAGTGCTGGGCTGCGAAGCTGCTCACAGCCTCTTCAGTGCCAGTCTGATCCCTGGCCTCCGGGGAGGGTCCCACATGGCACGACAGACCTCTCCTGCTGTGCCCGCTGCTCCCCTCAGCAGTGTATTTCTTTGTCAGTCTGTCTGTTCTGTTCCCTGCTCTGGCTCTGGTGAATTCTCTCACCCTCCCGCGTTTCTGACTGTACCCAGTGTTTGTATAAATAAATAAATCTTTAAAACAAACAAAAAAGGATCAAACTCTTCCACATAACTCAATGATATCCCAGGGAAAAAACCCCCAATTTCTAGAAATTAAAAAATATCCAACATTCACAAGAGATTAAAATTCATACTACCTGTAGCATCCAATAAAAAACAAGCAGGCAGACAGGCAAAGAAGTAGGAAAATATAATCCATAGCTTGGAGAAAAATTACACAATCAAAATCTACCCATAAATGACTCAGCTGATAGAATTATAAACAAAAACATTAAAATAGCTTTTAAAACTATATTCCATATGTTCATGAAGCTAGAAGAAAGGTTGAGTATGTTTATTATAGATTTGGAATATGTAAATAAAAACAAAAGACCCAAAATGAACTTGTAGAGAAAATTATATCGTATTACATGAACAATATACTGGAAGAGGTTAGTGGCAGATCACGCATAGCAGATCATTAATGAATTTGAAGACACAGCAATGCAAACTATCTATAGACAAATACAGGCCACAAACAACAAAAAAATTACACAGTATCAGAGAAATGTGTGTTCAAGTCACCTAATATTTGTGTAATTGGAGTCCTCAAAAGAGAAGAGCGGGAAGACACAAAAATATCTGAAGACATGATGACATAGTGGCTTCAAAATTTCCCAATGTGATGAAAATTATAAACCCAGAGATGCAGAAAGCTCAGCAAATCCTAACCAAGAAACATTTAGAAAACTAGTCCAAGGCATACTATAATTAAAACTAGTGATAAAAAGAAAATTTGAAAAGTAGCCAGTTTAAACTCACACATATTAAATATAAAGGAATAAAAATAAGGGATGGCATTACATTTCTTTTCAAAAACAATGCAAGCCAGGTGCTACACAACAATATCAGAGTACTGAAAGAAAATTTATCAACTTAGAATTTTATAACCAGTAAAAATACATTCAAAAAATGAAAGTGAAATAAATATTCTTCAGTCATCAGAAGCAAAAAAAAAAGATTATTCCCAATATAACTGAAATATAAAAGTTAAAGGAAATATATTAAGCAAAAGGAAAATATTTAAAATGCAATGGTCTTTAGACAATTGAAATAAAAGGAATTCAACTGAAAAACAACTGAAATAAAAGGAATCCAAATTGGAAATAGTAATGTAAAATTATCTCTACTTTGAGATGGAATGATCCTATGTATATAGAGTTATAAGGAGTTTACACACACACACACACACACACACACACACACACACACACACAACTATTAGAATTCATAAATGAATCCAGAAAGATTACAGGATACAAGCTCAAATGACAAAAATCAACTGCCTACACTACACTACACTACACTAGCCGTGAACAAACCAAAAGCAAAATTAATGGGAAAATCTATTTACAATTTTCTTTTTATCACTAAAAGTACTTAGTGGTTGCTAGGAGATGAGATGATTGCAGAATGGGCGTGATTCCCAATATATAGAGTTTCCAACAAAATTTTATTTACAAAACAGGCAGCAAGCATATTTGACCCACAGGTGACAGATTGTCAAAACCTGACTAGAACTCTGATGGAGAAAACAAAATATAATAAAAGTAAAGTGAAATAGCTGTTAAACTAGGATTCAGTCAAAGGACTATATAGATGCTAATGTTACAAAGTAACTACGAATTACTACTAACTTTACAAAATATTAGAGTTAAAGGCAAGGGAGAAAGAAATCAATGACTGGTTTATAAAAACAGTCTTTATATGATAAATTCCAAATGAAGGAAAAACAATAATAATCCAGGCTAAATTTACTTTTAAAACATCTTTCTTACACATAAGGAAATTTCACATGAACAAAAATCATAAACAACTGCTGTAAATTTGATTTACTAACTCTACACAGATTAGGATATATCTATATCCTAATATCCTTTTTTGGAACCAAGTCAGTAACTTTTCTTAGCACTTTAAACTACCATAGATGTTTTGGAGCAAATTTTGTTAGTCATCCAAATATTTTATATTTATAGCAAGTATTATTCAAAGAATCCTAGACTCCTCTATATTTTTATCATCCTTGCAGATCATCTAATATTAGTTCAAGGGCCCTTATTGAAGAGCTACAGAAAATCATCTACTGGTAAGAATTTAAAAAGATTGTAAATTCAGAAAGAAAATTAAAGAAATTACTGACCTGTTCATCTATTGCATCTCCTGCACCTTTTAAAGATTCCATGGACACTGAGGCAGCATTCACCTTGGAAGTCTTAAGTTTAAGATTAGCTTTTGGACTCAGCAACTTGTGTCTTGATCTGATATTTTCTTCTGTAGACGTTCCTAAGGATTTTCATCAAAGATGATATCAAAATTATAACTTCTCATTCTCTTAATTCCACCCCTCCATACTTGATAAACTTCATTTAAAGTTCTCAATAAGTAATGAATCATGAAGAAATGATGTTTTGAATAAACTAAGGATCTCATTAAAATATTTTTAAAAGGTGTTGTGAACATTCATGAGTCACATTAAAACCAATAAATTATAGCATGTGATACATACTTTAATTTAGGGGAAATTAATCTGATGGTCACATCATTAGGGTACTTACAATTTCTCAGTTTTACTATTCATCTAAGTAATAACCAGTAAACTTTAAGGAGTCTATTATATCAACCCTAAATCAAGAAATTTTTACTTTTCTTTGAAATATTAAATTTCGGCTATTATTCATAACACAAAAAATAAGAATCTCTTGCTTCTTAATATGTAAGTGAGGGCCTCCTTGGTAGTGCAAGTCAAGTGCAGCGCTCTGAAGCTGTCTGCAGCCTCTGCATCGCAGGTTCGATTCCTGGCCTGCCAGGGAGATTCCCACATGGCAGACCTCTCCTGCCACTCCTGCTGCTCCCCTCAGCAGTGTATTTCGGTAGTCTGCCTATCCGCTCTGTCTCTGGTGAATCGTCTCACCCTCCCATGCCTCTGGCCTATACCCCAGCTCTTGTATAAAAATAAATAAATCTTTAAAAAAATAAAAATAAAAAATAAAAAATTAGGTTCTCTGATTAACTATCCTCTATCCAGTTCTACCTGCAAAGTTGTCCTAAGGTTTCATTTTCTCCTAACATTTAAGAAGCAAAGGAAAGTTAAAAATTAACATAGAAAATCATACCTGGAACATATACTACTGATTGTTCTTCATCAGAAACTTTGCAGAAGGACATGAAGGAAAACAATATAAAAGATAATCCAATATCCAACTACATGCTTTGTCAAATGTTGTAAGACTTTGTTCCATAAAACTTTTATCCATGTTAATTCCCAAGTGAGGTACTGTACTATTAGGGTCCTTTCATTTACTTTCCTTTTGCAAACAGAGAGTTAAGTGTTCTAGTTTGCTCATTATTGGAGAAATGACAAGTTATTTTAGGCTTGAATAAATAATTTCAAAAAAGCGTCAGCTTTCAAGAACAAACACTGTTTGAGGGCAAGTCAATCATGCAGACACAAAGACAATTTCTATCCTTCTGCAGTGCATTCATGAAATGTCCCAAGAAGCCCTACTATTTAACAAATGGAGGAAATTTAAGACAAAAAGAACTATTTTGAATTTGAAAAGGAGAAATTTAGAAAGGCTAAGTTCTTATCACTACTATAGAAAGACAACCAATAAGAAACCTTTCCTTCCAGAAACAAAATTTTATTCAGAACTATATCTAAATCTGGGTATGTCCATAATAACCTCCTATTACACTTTCAGAAAGAAGTATCTAAACTATTTTGTCCAAATGACCTAGAAAAATTCCAGTTTTCTGGTATTCTTTTTATTGAGGTAGCATTGGTTTATAACAATATTTATAATTCAGAGGAGTTTTCTGTTCTTTTATATAAAATGTGTTGTTTCCAAAATTTCTAGGCAAATTAATTATTAACAATTTCCCTCCTGGAAATAGCTGAAGTAAAATGGTGAATTTAATAACATGTTCAAAAAATTCACTATATTTCAGTGCAAGATTAACCCTTGTAATGGAGTCTTTTTAGGGAATGCTGATCCGAAATGCCTAGAATCCCTATGAGAATTGAGAAGACAACTGCAGTGCCAACTGTTGAAGCTGTCAGGTGGTCTCTAACAGCTCTCTATACTAGACCATGCACAATCACAGCTTCAAAATTTTGGCTAATAAATAATGCCCTAAACTTTAAATTCCCTCAAATATCAAAGATGGAGATTAGAAAAAATTTAAAGGCATATAATACAAATAAAGCATTAGATTCCACAATGCCACGGAAACTTGATAGAAGCTAACACTGGAGCAGAGAAATTCCAAATTTCCTGACACTTAATCTATCAGCCTAAGAACACAAAACATTAAAATCCCCTAAAATGAAATTAAGCAGGCTCCTTAACAACAAAAACTGATTCAACTTTTCTTACCTACTGGTACTAACAAAGGGCACTGCAAACACAGTAGATGCCCAATAAATGTTGTGCTATTTGAAAATACATAAAGAAAAAAGTATCTGGAGGGAAGAAAAGAAGGCAGGAGCTCAAGATTCAAAAAAGTTCCATATGGCCATGTATTCAATTAGAAAATATATAATTAACTTACAGAATATTCTACAAGGATGAGCTGTGGAAAAACTAACAACTTAGGTCTTGGAAAACATAGGACACTTCCCTAGACCATTCACAAAGGAGCCTAGACAACAGACCAACCACTGGGGCCTCTACTCAGTTCCCTCGAAGATGAACTTGGAAGTTCAGGTATTTCATACTTTCTTTTCTCAAACTTGACACTACTTACCCCATCCTTACTCTTTGCTAATAACTTGGTCTCCCTTTTTCATTTAAGACAAACAAATTGTAGAGACCTTCCACAAGCTTCCACCAACATATCTAATTGACTGTCTTATATTCATGTCCATAAACTCTATGTTCCCTCTTTTTACTATAGATGAACTGTCCCTGCTCCTATCTAAAGTCAATGTAGGCCTTATGCAAAAAAATACCATCCCTTCTTCTACATGATATTTTCTCCCCTCTTTCATGAATCATTTTTCCTATTAAACTTTTTCCAGCGTCCAAATATATAATAATTTTCTTTCTCCTGAAAACAAAACTCTGTTGAGCCTATGTCTTTCTCACTAACTACTGTGCCATTTTTGCTCCCTTTACAGCAAAACTCCTCAAAGGAGTAATCTATTGATACATTCACTACCTTCAATTTCTCTCCTCTCATTCATTCTTGAACCTATCCCAAAAAGCTTTCCACCCCATCACTTTAGAACAACTACTTTTAACAAGGTTACCATGGTCTCTACATTATTAAATCCACCAGTCAATTCTCAGGCCTGACTGTATACGATCAATAGCATTTGCTATAGATAGCTACACTCCTCCTTAAACCACATTTCCCCTTAGCTTCAAAGATACTATACACTCAATTTGATCCCGACCTTCTAATTTTAACTCTTACGCATCTCAGTCTCCTTAGATTCTTCCCAGCCTCTTAATCTTAGAGTGCCTCCAAAGTCCATTCCTTGGACATTTTTCCCTGTTCATTTCCTTGGTGATCTCATTCAGTCTCAGGCCTTTAAATATTATCAATATGCTACTGTCTGCCAAATTAATCTCTAGCAGAAGCCCATCCCCTACATTTAACATTGCCACTTAGATGTATAAAAGATAACTAAAACACACACACACACACAAGATACCTCAAATTCAACATCAAACACTGAAGACCAAAAAAATTACAACATAATAAAGTCAACAACCCTGAAAGAAACAAATGACCACTGCATTTCACCTCAGAAACAACAGTACTGTGGAAAGGGTAGGGAAAATTGTAATTAAACTGGGTTTAGAGTAATACCTAGGCAGTACAATCCAACACAGAAGAGCAGCTATTGTACAGAGCTCCTCTGTTGTTAACTCAAAAACTGGCATTACACTGGAAAAGGAGGTACAAGGAGTTGGCATGGAGGACAGAGGGTGTACCACTGGAAAACCATACCATACTGGCGCAAAATGACTACTGCCTTGAGCCTAACTCTCCCAAACTAGAACAACTGGAGCCCAAACCAGAGGGGAGAGCCAAGTAGTGTCAGCTATTTGGTGATCAAGCATAGTGAAACAGTGTCTCCTCATAGAGGCAACTACTATTTATATCTTGAAGCAGTGATATACCAGACACCTGTCTTGCCACCACTAAGAGCCAAAATCAAGACAATAACCAGAGTTTGAAGCATATGGATCTTCATAACAGGAGTAAGCACCCAAGAGTAAGACTCCATGTTCTAAAAGCAAAGAGAAAAATTCCCAGCTGTGGCTATGTCTTAACTTTAGTCCTCACCCAGCACTGCATCAATTGCCTAACCATAGCCTAAAGGTTGAGACTGGCATAAGACTTGGAGACATTTTGGCCAAGGAGGTGAGTACAATGGACCCCCCACACACAACTTAGGCAACTAGCACTGTAGAACCTTGAACACTTGATGATGAATGGAGGTGACCTTTCAGTGCCCTAGTGCCCCAGTCCTCACCAGCACCAGGTCTATAAAATAATAGATACCTAAGGTTCCTGGATAAAAAAAAGTAGGATTATATTCAGCCTCTTTTAGGAGAGGTATAAAGCCAATTTAAATTTATTAAGATAAGGAAACTCCCTTTTCAAAACAATAAAAATTAAAAATGAAGAGACAGAAGAACATCATTCACAAATGTTGGCGCGAAAAAACCATAAGGGAAGCGTCAATCCAGCACTGCCATAGAATATGTCTGAGAAGGAGTTTAAGGAAAGAGTTATAACCATGCTTGCTGAGTTAAGAAAAACAATGAAGAAAAACAGGATCACAATAAAGACTGAGAAAAAATGTGACTGTTACAACAAGAACTAATGTATCTAAAATATACTGTAACTGAATTAAAAATTAGAATACAGGTCCTCAACATAGACAAATGCAAGTAATGGAGAGAATTAGTGAGTCTGAAAGTACAATGGCAGAGAACAAAGAGAACTAGCATCCATATCATCCATATCATTAGAGATGGAAAAGAAAAAGGCATAGAAAATTAAAAAAAAATTGCTGAAAACCATATCAACCTGTTTCAAAAGGACTAAAATGTTCCAAACAAAATAGTATTAGACTGACATACACCAGGACATATTAGTATTAAACCACTGAAGGGCAATGCCAAGGATAGAATATTAAAAGTATCAAGAGAAAGAAGAGTAACCTACAGGGAAGACCTATTAGACTGTGAATTTTTCAGTGGAAACTTAATAGGCAAAAAGAAAATGACAGGATATATTTAAAGTCAGAAAAAGATTTCCAATCTAGAATACTTTCTTATGTAAGACTATCATTCAGGAATTAAGGAAGGGTAAGGAGCTTCACTGAAAAATAAAAAATTAAGTGCATATAGCAACACGAAGATAGACATGAAAGAAATGTTAAAGGAGTTAATATAAAGCAACAATATAGAAATAACAAATGCTTAACTTATACAATGAGGAAGAGGAGGAGAGTAAAAATGTGGCCCATTAGAATGCATTTGATATCAACCCATCCAACAGGATCCAAAAATAGTCCATCATACTTTTCAGCAGAACCTTCAGACAAAAATCAACAGAAAAAGAGAGAATAAAAAATAATAATCAATAAATAATAATCAAAAAATAATAATCAATACAAGTAATATAAGACAAAGGAAATGGAAACTAAATATAAAAGAAGGGTGTCAATAAGTAGACACACTAAAAAAAAAATCAAAACGATAATAATCATTTATGTCTCTTATATTACATAGAAACAATCTAAGTGCCCAGTGATTAAAGGACTGGATGCAGAAGATGAAATATGCAATTTATTGCAAAATGGAAGGAACTTGACAGAATTATGTGTAGTAAAGCCAAGGCAGACTGAAAAAGACACACATAACCCAAGGATACCAAGCCCCACACCTTATGTCATCTCACTAAAATGTAAGCACTGAGAGAGGATTTTGTTTCACTTTGGTCAATGTTGGTATCTCCAAACATCAAAGAATGCCTCCTTGTAAGCCACCTATGAAAGAATGAGTTTGATATTCATTTACTTTTAAAGTCACTGTCCAACAACTTTCAAAGTCACCTTTCTCTATTTTAATCAAACGAAACTGGCAAAACTTGTTAGCTACACCATGCTACATTTCTTTTTAAATATAAAAATAACCAGTAAACCTCAACAAAGTCTTGAAAAGATTTGACTTTGCCTCCATCCATTCCTTTCTAATCCTTGTAATCTGTCTTCATCATATTGTCATGAGAATCCAAATATTTATCTTCTTCAAATACAGAGATGCCCACAAAACATACATACTTTATGGGAGAACAAGAGAATGCTCATACCAATCTATCCAAATGCCCAGAATTAAAACATCAAAGGCAGAAACAGTAGAGAGAAGCATGTCTAGATTACTGGAATCTGAAAGAAACTTAGTACTGACAACTGTAATCTTATGAGTTTCATTCAGTTACCATTAACACATGAATATGTAATGATTAGTGACCACAACTACTTTGCTGGATTGCTGGATAGTATATTAATGTAACATCCACATAAATTCTTTGTCTATTTTTAATTGAAAACTCAATGGCAGAGATGATAGCTATAGCAATGTTTTCACCAGGTCCAGTATTTCTTAATATCAACTTACTAATACTGTTAATACACTTGAGTACATTTACATTCACATTTAGATGCTGAAGAACACTAATTTCTGATATTACTGAGAACAATAATGAAGGGGAAAGGTGGCTTATTGCTTGCACTTTTTTTTTTTTTGTAGATTTAACCCAAAATGACAATATGGCTTATATATTGTTTACACATTAGGTACAAAGATGTAACCTGTGCAAAACAGCACTGCTGAACCACACTGTGCAGGTGATGCATAAAACATAAGAACAACAGCAAAAACAAAAAAAAGGTGACATTCAGTCACAGATGATCCGTCCTCACATGAAGGAAACATAGGACTGGGAACTTTCTCAATCACATTTTTCTAACTGTTCAATAAAGGTGAAGATGGAAAATCTTTGAAGAATGTGAAAATACCAAATTATAGGGACATACTTTTTTCTGATGAAAGTTAAACCATAAAGACTTTGGGGTGACTTGGGAAATCATTAATATGACAAGAAAATAAATCAAGACCCAAAACACATGACTAAACCAAGTGACTAATAACTATGGATATGCTTTTTAGCAAAGATTCAGTAACAAATTTGCATTTGATTTAAAATGAAAGTATCTTATGCAGGATGTTAATTGATCATTTTGTGAAATAGGTTGGGGAAACAGGCGCTAGTAGAACCCTTTTAATTCCATTCAAGCAACTGAATTTCTATAGGATGTAGTCACAACCATTTTTCGTATACAATTTCAACTCTTCACTTTCAATAGAAAGACGGTATTTACAGTAATTTTAAGAGTAAGGGAGAATGTAGAAGAGAAGGGAGGATATGACTTCTAGGTGAAATAGTAACAGGACAAATAAGTGAGTACAGACAACTAAGACCAAGAGCATAGGTTAACATACCTGTTAATTTATTCAGTTCCAACCCAACAGACTGCTTCCCCCATACACCATTTATTCTATATCAGAGCAATATCATTGGTCATAAAATTAAGTAATAATAACCAAAACCACATGGTTATGAAAATGTACTAAAGAAGCTTGTTACAAGCTAATAACCTACTTGTACCTCCTCTATCACAAACTTCTCTCAATGCAGTGGCAGTGTTTCAGGACAACAAACTCATTGGCAATTCCTGACTTCCTGATTCAACCCAGTTGTTCCCAATGAATATATTCTTTTTGCAGCCCTACTGACAGGTAAAAGAAAAAGTACTTAATTTGCATGGTGCATTAGTGTGCTTTCATCCAGTATGCGAAATTGATTTCACTTGATTCTCACCAACTTAACAGAGAAAAGTGGTACTTCTATTTAGAAAGTGCATAAGACAAACACTGAGCAGCATGAAGTGCAAAAATATACCTCTCTCCAAATTATGACACTTCAATTCCAGTAACTCAATAAAGGAAAATGATAAAAAAAATTGTGTAAGTTTCACAGGGAGTTTAGTAGAATCTGCAAACAATGATTCTGCCTCTAACTCTGCTATCACCAATCCCAGTAAAGATACAAAAAGACTAGCCTCTGCAGCACCCAACAATAATTGCCTTCCTTTCAGTAACACTCCTCCAATTAACATGACGTAAACCATCATCAGGACCAAAGATCAGGTAGGAACAGTTTACCAAACCCAGGGAAACGCACTTGACATCTCATCAGACAATGAACCACCGAATACAACAACATGGTAAAAGTTCCACTGCTGCTCCACCTCCAAACAATCCAAGAATGTCAATATTGCCAGTGGACACCCATAATCTATATCTTCAATCGACGGTACTTCCCAGCAGGATGATTCGGATCCTACTCAGCAACAAGCACCACCAGATCACGTCCCAGGATAAGGAGACCCAAGACCCGCACCCCTTCTAAAATCCCACTACGAAAATAAATTCTCACTGACAAGCCTTCGAAGTCCCACAAGGTCCTGACATTCCTAAATCAAAACAAAAAGGAACCTGGTCCAGCTGAAACGGGACAAACCCAACACGCTTCCCTTCTCCTCACAAGGACACAGCGAGCCCGAGGTGACCCAGGGCGGGGGGGCCCTGGAGCCCCAGATCGGGCCACAATTCCAGGCCATCTTCCAGATCTCAGGGACCGCGAGGGCTGGGAAACATCTACGCTGAGCCCCACCCCTGAGCTCCAAACGGGACTTGTCGCCGGCTGGCCGGCCATCTGATTCCCGGCACCTGGACCACGGCCGGACGGGCGGCCGCGCCCCCGGGGTTCGCACAGAGCTTCCCCTCCACCGTGAGACCCACGCGATCGCCCGCAGGAGGGCGGCGGAGCCCCCTGCCAGCCCCGCAAAGGATACAGTCCCGGCTCCAGAACGCCGCGGCGCCCGGGCGGGAGGGGCCCGCCACGTCCGCCATCTTGAAACAACCGCCACTCGGGGCGCCGCGCCCGGCCGGCTCCGCCCCGGCCCGCAGGCCCAGAGCCCATTGGCCGCACGGCGCCCAGGCCCGCCCTCGCCTGCGCGGCCGGCCCCGGCGGGGTGGGGCGGGCGGGCCCGAGGAGTCGCTGTGTACCCGCGGCGAGGGGTGGAGCGCCCGCCCGGCCCGCGGAAAGGGTCGCCCCGCGGAGCTGCTGCTCCCAGACCGGCCCGGGCCCCGCATCTCTGCGCCGCCGAGAGCTCAGGCGCCGCGCACTACAAGTCCCGGCATGCCGTGAACGCCACGGCCCCGCTGCGGCGGCCCCCGGCCCGCCCTCCCGCCCGCCGCGCCCGCCGGCCCCCCGGCCCCCCGGCGCCGCACTGGCCGCGCGCGGAGCCGCGACGCGAGCCATGGAGGACGCGCAGTCCCCGCTGCCGGGGGCAGCAAGCCGCACCTGGAGAAGCTGACCCTCGGGATCACCCACATCCTAGGTGAGGGGCGGGGGCCGTGGGGGCGACCGGGGGACGAGGGCGTGTGCGCTAGGAGCCCCGAGGAGCGACGGGGCGCCGAGCCCGGGCTGCCCGTGGGCACCGCGGCTTGGACTTGCGTGGCCACGGGGGGAAGAGGGGGTGCCGGTGTGGCTAGGCCGGGGAAGGCGCGCCGGGAGTGTTTGGAGGCTGTGCTGGGAAACCCTACGGCCCCGAGGAGGTGCCGCCCCGGGGCTCAGGAAGGACGGGGAAAACGGGCAAAGGGGGACAGCGGACTCCTGACAGTTGAAATGTGGGTCTCCCCAGAGGCATTCTTGTGGCCAAGGGATAAGTATCCTTGAAACTGAAGCCCTTCCTCTGGGAGCAGAGAGAGCTGGGGAAGTGCTGCAGCCATATCCTCCCGGGACAGCTCCCTCCGAAGAGGTTGAGAGCTCGCCCCCCTGGATGGAGAGTGATGTCCTTTATTGAACCTTTACTTAGCATCTCCCGCTGTGTTAGACTCCAGGGCTACAAAGAGGAAAAAGCAAAAACACAGTTCGGGGGTGGGGGGATCAACAGACCAGGTCTGTAAAAAGTGGGAGAGGTCAGTAATCGGTTATTGTGCAGATGCGGCCCACAGGAGGAGGTTATTGACCTTATCTTGGGAGTTAAAGGGCATGTCCCACAGGAGATGATGGTAGATGTTGCAAGGTAAATGAGAATTATCCAGATAACCAAGAAGGAAAAATGCAGTCTCAGCAGGCCGAATAGCATGCTTCCCTGCTTTCCCATCACATAATGAAATCCAAATTCTATCCCACGACCCACAAGTCCCTTGTGATCCACCCTCATCCGTCTGTCTGACCTTATTTTCACTCTCCTTCGACCACTGTAACCTCCTCGTACCACAAATACACTAAGTTCCTTCGGTCTCTAAGACCTTTGCAATTTGCTGAGACCCTCCTCCTGAAATTATCTTCCTCATAATGTCTTTCCCACACGTTATTAAAATCTGTGCTTTAATATGACCTTACATAAACCTTTCTGAATAAAATTCTAATAACATCTCTATCATCTCCCTCCCTTTATCTTATATTTTATCCTCATGGCATTTATCACTACTTGAAGTTAGGTATTTATTTGGCTGCTTTTTAAATTTGTCTCTTTTCAGTAATTAAAGTCCATGAATATAGCAACTCTATGTTGTGCTTCCCTGTACAGCAGGTGGTCCAATAAGTCCTTTAATAACGCTATTTAGTCCTATTCAACATCACTTGGTGGTAACACTGGTTAAGGGGGAAAAAAGTTGATTCCCAGCTGGAGCCACTTCTGCCTGAAGCTGGCACATTCTTCCCAGGTCTGCATGGGTTTTCTTTGGCTACTCTGCTTTCCTCCCACATTCCAAAGAGGTGCCTGTAGGGTTGACAGGTGTGTCTAAATTGTTCCTGTGGGAGTAAGTTGGTGGAGGGTGGGGGGCAGGCATTGTGAGTGTTCCCTGTGAGGGAAGCATGGCCTGTGGTTTGGATCCCACCATGTTCCTTGAGCTGTTGGGATAGGATCCAGCCACCTGTGACTCTGACCTGGACTAAGGGTATTGGAGAATGAATGAATACAAATAACTGTGTAATAGTACAAATGCTTTTGGCTTTTTATTTAGAAGCTTAGTGATGTGACCAGAACTACACCATAGGAACTTACCTCTTGTTGGTATCAATTAGTCTATGGTTTAATTGTTCCTTATATGTCACTTTGTGTAAAGTCACAGTTTCCAAGAACCTATATGTGACGTTATGGGAGAACATACAGTGTTCCCCAGTGCCAAAACAGTGAGTGAAACATGAAATCATGATGTGTTTGGGAAAGTAATAAGTTTTAGAAATGAAATTATAGAGTTGAACAAGGAGAGAGCTAATCATCAAGACCACCCATAACCTAGCTCGTTATTTTTATCCAAACTTCTGCCCTGTTGTGTTTACGGATTTAGTCAAGCAGGTCTTGCTATTGTCCCATTATTCCCTTTATAAATCTTCATTACTCCCTTCATAAATCTGAGTTTTCTGTAAATAAGAAGTTAATTTCTTTTGTTTAATGTTTAGTCTACTCAAGCCAACCAAATTTCTCTTATGTTGTTTCATATAAAAACCTTGTAGGGTAAGTGAATTGGTTAGGCTTTTACACCACTGGCTATCACCTGCAGCCTTGATTGTGCTAAGGCAGGAGGCGCTTGGGAGTGTGGACTCAGGGCACACATGCCTGATGGTGGACACCTGGAGCATGGTGTGAGCATGCGCAAGTGTGCACACCTGAGCCTGGAGGCTGAGGGTATAAGTGCGGCGTCACTCAGAGACAAAAATGGCTGCAGCAGAATGGCTAGGAGAGGACAAGCGATGGCTATGAGTGGAAGAAACCAGAACGCCAGAGAGAGCCTAAAGAGAAAGAGTAAAGACTCACCAGGGACTGCCAGCCTCCAGGCCCCTAGCCTCCCTGCCTTGCCTACCTGTGTGCAGCCTTGCCTCACAACAATTGGTATAGAAAGAGCAGAAAAGCCTGAAAAAGACATTGAGGGCTCCAGGATTCTCCTTTATCCATCTGCCTGAATCGATTGAGAACCTGCCCCGTGCTTTGTTCCACTACAGACCTAAACAATTAAAAACTATTAAAAATTTTACTTAAACACTTAATATATCTATTATTAAGTAGTTCAGATATCAGATAAACTGCTAACCCAACCCTATAAGGCAAAACCTACTAAGGAATTAAACAAGTCTGTAATCAAATAGAGTTAAGCTAGCTTTCCATAAACATTCTAAAGTGTTTATAAGGTTCATCAAAACTTCATAATTTATTATTTAATTAGTTTTATTGAGATGTTGGTTTACATGTATATGTTAATATATATATGTGTTTAGGTTCATACCTCTTCATAGTAGCAGTCAAAAGTGGAAACAATCCAAATATTCATCAACTGAATAATGGATATACAAAATGTGGTATAGCCATACAATAGAAAATTATTTAGTTAGAAAAAGAAATGAAGTACTGATATATGCTGCAGTAGGGATGAACCTTGAAAACTAAATGAAAGAAGTCAGGTACAAAGACCACATGCATGATTTCCTTTACATGAAATGTCTAGAACAGACAAATCTATAGAGACTGAAAGGTTAGTAGTGCTGGGGAAGGGGAGTAGGAAACACTGCAAAAGGTACAGGGTTACTTTTGGGGGTAAGGATGCGTAATACTGAATATACTAAAAAACATCAACCACACATTAAAAGGGTGAACTTGAGACTGTGAATTATACCTCAAAGCTATTTTTTAAAAGGAATTCTAAAACCAGCCCTCCAAGGTTTCCTATCCTAATCCTCAAGACTATGAAACTGATGAAATGTCACCCCATGATGATATTATATTAAATGACAAAAGGGAGATTTTCCAGGCGAACCTGATCTAATTATATAAGCCCCTTAAAAGAAGCTGTTAATAGAAGAGGAAGTTGAAGAGACCTGAAGCAATAAAAGGATTTGTTATGCTGTTGCTGGCTTGAAGATGGATGGGAACACTTGACAAGGACTAAAAGACGCTTCTGGAAGCTGAAAGTGACCCCAGCTGACAGCAAGCAAGGAATGGAGAATTCAGTTCTACAACCACAAGGAATTAAATTCTGTCAACAACAGAACTGATCTTGGAAGATGACCTGAACTCTGAATGAAAACAATTATCACCTGTTACACCTGGCATAAAAATAGGACTGTAGAGCAATGATTTTAACATTAGCAGAGAATCCAGTCATGCTGTTCCAGACTTCTGAACTACAGAACACTGACCTAAATTGCATGTTATTTAAAGCTGCTAATTTTATGATTATCCATGCCATTATCCATAATAGAAAACTTAACACCTTCCACATTTTAAAGAGCACGCTTCAAAAAGAAACATAAGTGTAATGTGATCACAAAATTATAAATTATACTGATAATATCAAATCTCTCATACCAAAAAATATGAACCATCTATTAGTAGAAAAAGATTTTAAATCTAGATCACATAATCAACTATTTGTTGTTTCCAAAAGTCTACCTAAAAGCAAATTTATTAAAAATGCTAAAAATAAAGGGATGGCTATGTGTTTCTGGTTACCCACAACACCCACACCTTCAATGATTCGCTGGAAGAACTCACAAATATTCCAGCTATAGTTTCTTGTATCGGTCAACAAGGGACACAGACATGACAGGTGGAGTCTTGAAGCATCCATAAGCATCTCAAGGTTTCATTTCTGAGAGTGGTCACGTGAAATATACTTTTTTTTTTTTAAGTAGTGAAATGTAAATATGTGTGAAGTGTTTCTTACCAGGAAAGCCTGTTTAAGACTCAAATTCAGAGGCTTTATTTATTCTAGTCACATAGGGAGAACAACTTGCCATTATTATCAAGGTTTTGGACTTGAAGGATAGTGTGTCAAGAAATTTAGTGGGTTAATGCAGAGGTGGGTAGAACATCCTTATAAATATGAAACATATCCAAAGGCCACAGTCCCAGGCACCAGTCAGAGGTGAACCCTACAGCAGGTCATTCTAAAGGTGTTAACCTGGGTTGGCTTTGTTTTTTCTGTGCAGTCCACCCTACCTCCCAGCTCTCCAAATGCCTCACCTTCAAAACCCTGACTTTATAGCATTTCCTAATTCTTTGATTTGTTAATAGACTACTAATGTCTTTAAATTATTCTCTTTGAATAGTCTTATTTAATCAGAGGTTCTAAGTTGTCTTTTCTCAAGAGTTTTAATGTCATATCTTAGATTCCAAGATCTCTCATACTTTGATCTGTGGCCATAATTTTTCAGTAATGTAGATGACCATTTTTTCCAACCTGTGCACATTTGCCTGTCCCAAAAAGTCACCTCTGAGCACACAAACATAAATTTCTGTCTTTCAAGCTTCTTAATTGCAGACTATGGAATACACTCTGGCTAGTTGAGGCTAAAGATATACTTTTGCTAGTTAAGGCAGAAAAGGGTCAATTA